CCTCCTCCTTGGAGCCGAGCAAGGGCAAAAGCCGCCTTTGATGCAGCTTGTCAAAGTCCAGATCGACCATGGACATGCCCTTGAGATGACTCGAGCCATGAAAGCTGGCGTGCGAGTACCTGCATTTGACGTGACATCAAAAGGCAGACCAAGTTCTGTCAGTTTGCCTCTCATCGAGTGACACCATAGCTCCCGCCGACGCACCTGCCGAGTTCGGGGCTCGTCACCGCCCTGGACAGTAGACGCAAAGTGCTTCCAGCAGCTTCGTGCAGATCCACACCGACGCCTTGCTTTTGCGCAATGAAAGCAGCATTGTAGGCAATGATGGTCAATAGCTGAACAAAGTTGAAGGCAGCAGAGTTTGCTGGATCATCACCCCCGATGATAGCCGCCGCCCTGCTGGACACTGCTGCTGCGTTCCGCGCCTGTGACTGATTTTGGGAGGCAGATATCCTTTTGTTCGGTGCATCGTCCTGTAACGCTGACCCTGCCTCGTTGCGGCCTGCGTTGCCTCCGAGCATAGACGCAAGACCCCAAGAGAAGTGGTTGCCACCCGGCAGCTGTACGAAAGACTCGAGTGTGGACAGAGTGGACATTGCCAGACTGCTCGGACCTCCACTAAGCGGAGAAGGTGAAGTCAAGACGTCATAGGCAGAATTAGAGAGGTACAAAGATACTTCAGGGCTGCGAGCAACAGGAATGGATTTGTTCAAGCAATGCACCACGATTCAAGGTAAGGTCACTTGAATGCCGACTCACATTTTGCTACGAGACCAGAGCGGACATTGTCGAGCAGTAAGGGCACCAGCGTCGTTAACGAATGCAAAGGGTAATTGCAAGCCGAGATACGCAGCGACAAGCTCTATGAGCTGAGACGTGTACTCCGTAGCTCCATTGATCGCATCTCTCGGGAAGCGCCGAATGTCAGATGGCATAGGCAAGACGTTTCCAACTACTGTCCAATCGTGAGCATGAGCTGTTCTGGCATTCGCAAGTGCAGCATTGGCGGCCGCCACTATTCCCCGAGAAGCTGTGGGTGGCCCGCTTCGAGGGTCGAATCCTCCAAGTGAACGCTCGCGCTCTTGATCTGTCGATTCGGAGTGGTATCGCTCTCGGCTTCTTTGCGCCCGTGCCATGGATAAGATGCTAGGACCGGATGACTGCTGAGTGCCCGCAGCAGCCACGCTTGCAAAGCTCGCCGCTGGCGGGGAGAGTGTAAAGATGGAACAGAT